GGGGGGGGGGGGGGGTATACCTCAAACCCATTGAAGGTTGTCGGTCGTGGCGTGGTACGCATCGATGACGTTATCGACCCTCGCTTTTACACCAAGCTGCAACGGACTGCGTCCAGTTTTGGGGGGGAGGGGGGGTGGCGGGGAAAGGGGGCAGCTTGCCTGACATTCTCCGTCACGATTAAGACCCTGCACTCTTCCTCCAGTTGCGTAAGCGCCGCCCTCTTCTTCCCGATCACCTGCAGCAGGTTTGGTTTCCAAGACGGCGTGAGATTCTGGTGGCGGGCACAGACAAGCAGCAGCAGCAGCAGCAGCAGCAGCAGCAGCAGTGGCGGCGGCGGCGGCGGCGGCGGCGGCGGCGGCGGCGGCGGCGGCGGCGGCGGCGGCGGTGGCAACAAGACTCCTACCGGTGGATGGCGCTGCCACCGTCTTTTGTCCCAGCAGCAGTTGTGGAATCAGCTTTGTTGGCAAGTGTACAAACGCCATACAGGTTGAAGCAGCAGCGAAGCATCTCTAGTGTCGCTGATCGCGCGTTGGGCAAGATGCTAGTTATCCCACTTGTGACAACAACCAGGCAATCAGACGTGGGCTTGCGAGGTGTTGTTGAGGATGGCAGCTACGTGTTTCCAAAGCCGTTCTTTGCCGTGCGAGCACCAGTGCGTTCTCACCCGGCACGAACCTTTGGTTCCCTCGACCAGTTCCCACTATTTTCGGCTGGAAGCACGCGGAAACCCCTCTCTTTGCTCAGAAACGCTACTGACACTTGATCCCCACTGCACGCAAGAGGCCGCTTAGTCGTTCGCCCTTCTGAAGCACAGCGTCGGGCAGGTGCTCTCCCCTACTGCTGTGCACCCCGTGCACGCCCGGTCGCCCCCGTCGACCCGTTCGCGGTAGAAATTCGCGCAATAGCTCTCCCGGGAAATAGTAAAAACGACGGGTGTGTTTTTACGTGAAGAGTTGCACAAGAGCAATTCAGCACTCACTCTTCCGGTAGCCTCGCGGGGAACCTCGATGCTCTCCTGGGCTAGATCACGGGGGGCCACGCCGAGGCGATCTGCCAGCCGCAAGCGGCGGAGACCCTGACGCATCTCGGCCATCTGGGCGGTCTTGTCGCGCTTTTCTGTGAACAACATCGCTCGTTGGTCCTGCGGAGGAGGGTCACAACACCAACAACATGGGAGCAACGAATCGTCCAGCGGGAACAGCAGAGTGTCAAGAATCAGCCCCTTGCGAGGAGGGAGCAAGAGGATGGACACTAGTTCATAGCAGCTGTGTACCCCTCACGCGTCTCCGTGAGGCCCACCCCCCCTCCCGTGAGATGGCAGCGTTTGCTACAGCAGGCAGGATGGCCCACACAGCGGGGTAGCATTTGAACAACTAAGATCGTAGTCTACAGGCAAAGCCAGGACCAACAAGCCGTGCACCCGTAAACGGAAATCAACAGGCTAAGGTACGCAAGCAGCACAGACGAAGTTTAGTCCAAGCACACACATTCTGACGGGCAAGAAACGTACATGGAATCGATCGATCCTCCAAAGGCTTCGGGGGGCAACTCGTCTGTAGCCGGGTTCAGCAAACAAAAGATATGGAATCGAGTGACCGACCTTTAGTGCTTGCACATCCTGCTGGGCCAACTCATAGGCGGCCAGGTCTTTGAGGCGGGCCTTGATGCTATCCTTCCTGCGGAGGAGGGTCTTCTCTTCCACCAGCTTCATGGACGTGGTGGTCAGCTTGATGTCGATGGACCTCATCTCCGCCCGAAGCTGTCGTGACGGGTCCAAACCGCGAGATTGAAATAGCAGCAGCGGCGGCAGCAGTGGCAGGCGGAACGAGTGGTTTCAGAGTTTTCCAGTCATCCTCACGGACGGTGGGCGTCAGCAGGTAACAACGGTTGGCCCATTGGCGGGGTACGCTCTACAACAAGTTCGATAGGAGCCCTCCTACGGCACTCGTGCCAGCCTTCGTCACAACCTCCAAATATAGTGTATGACTGCTGTACACACCGTATCTAAATCAATAATGTGCGAGGGCATGGGTCCTCGCGCAGCAAACCTGACAGGCAGGGGGCGACGAACGACGGCAGCGTTGGCGTCACTTCGAAGCCGTGCTTTGCACACAAGGCTTCGTATCTGCAGAAATACACACGCTGTTGCGGTGTAGTCTATGCTGGGTACATCGATGGCGGCGGTTGGGACTCGGCGCATTCGTGCGCCAAGATTACAGCCAGGTAAGTCTGACAAGATGAAACCCATGAATGCAACGATTTGCTTGATGAGCATCAGCCGACATTGCAGAGAGCAGAATATGTGCGCCTGCCGCCCTGGTACAGCAACCAAGCCGGGCAGCCGAACCTCGCCCGTTCGTGCCCGGCGGATCCAGCGCGAACATGTTTCGACAAAGTGTTCCCGGGCTTGTGGGAGAAAAGATCGGAGATGATCCAGCAACCGCGCTGAGAGATCGCGATACAGCCTTGCCTCCAAGCAAAAAAAAAAACTATCACAATGCATCGCATCGCCGCGAGAATTCTCGAGCTCACCTGATCTCCGTTGATGCCTGGTCTCTTAGGCAGACGCTTGATGACTGCCTCGATCTTGTCGTTCATCTGGACCCAGCTCTTTTCCAATTCGTCCACTTCCAACTCCATCGCTCCGCAACGAGCTTCGAGCGCCATTTTTTTGCCCTACGCGTGTCCTTCAGCCACCGTAGGACAAAAGGGCGTGATCGCTTGTGTGGACACGCACTCTTCTTGGGCAAGTCTGAGCTGTTGAAAGTCTCCCTCCCTGCTCCTCTGTCCTGCCTCTCCTGCGTATGCTGCTTGTCTGTTGTAGTGCCTCTATCTGTCACGGGCTCATTCTCTGCCCTGCTCCCCGCGATTTGTTTCGCAACATATGCAGGGTATGTCTCACGGCCATAATACAGGAACGAGGGGGGTGGGGGGCACAGTGCACTCGGCACTGTCTCAGAAGAATTTAACGGAACGGAATAATGGTTGATGGTCTGTCTCTTGCACCAGGGACATTGACAGCCCGCTCATTTCGAGCAGTCGCCGCCGCCGCTTCGGGTTTCGTCGTTACTACTGCTGTAGGAGAATAGAGTGACCCCCGGGGACGCGTGCAACAGACCGCTGCTTTCGTCTCCAGCAACATGGGAGGTGGAGCCGACAAGAGGGTGAGTTGATGTTCCTGAGCCTGGAAGAGCGCCTGTGCTGCTTTGAAATTGTTTGGACGGAAAGATACGGCGACTTGCAGGATGAACCACGGCACCCAGGGCACACTGCTGTACCCTTCATGGCTACCCCTAAATCCCAGCCTAATGGAACAAGAGATAGAAGAGAAACGGGAATACAAGGTGGACGATCGACCGCGATCAAGACCGCTGCTGCGCTGTAGGATAATACAATGGATGTGGTGCCGCGGCTCGAACGCGACAACTACAGGTTTCATGCCACCCAACAATCTCCTCATTATAGTCCATATATTTCCACAGCTCTCATGCTCCTCACACGTGTGTGCTCCTCATGTCTGCACCATGCGCCATGTTGTACTTGCCGACAAGCAGCTCGCCCAGTTGTTTGTAGTGCGATGTCCAGAAAATCCCCTCTCGGTTCTGCATGTATGCTACACCCTTACATAGGACGGGACAAAGGCGCAACTTATTACCACGTCAGTCAGGAGACTCAGAGCCGGGTTACTTTGTTTTTTCTCTGGGGAACCTGTTTGTGGGACGCTCGGGAGGGTGCGGTCTCAACTTGCTCCCGAACACCACTTGATACGCATACGTCTCATGTTAATCCCCATGGTATCGGTCTACATATATTCACGCTTTTCTGCATTTTGTTTGCACTTCATCACGAACTCGGTCGTGTGTGGTACGGACGGCCCGAGACAGCAGTAGAGAGGCCACTGGTGTAGTCATGGGAGAGACGAAAACCTCTTATTCCGCTCACCAGACTAAATGTGCGATTGCCCGAAGTCCCCGGCATTCCTATCCTCGAAACTCGAAACTGAAGAAGCACGCCGCAAACGATCTTCTTTCCTCTAGCATCTATGTAGGAGGCCAAGAGGCAGTATCCCAAAGCATGACAGGCTCACATACAATTATAATACAACTGCAATATACCGAGAACCGCCGGCCTGTTGAGGGGACGGACAAATGGGACCCCCATAGGAAGATAGGAAGAGCAAAGCTCGGGGAACATTCCGTGAAATGTCCCGCAGGAACTGCGAACAGTTTTTTTCGTTTGTTGAGTTCGGTGAGTTGGGGAGTTGGGTGGCAAAATTGTCGTCCGCCAAGGTGCGCTCTCTTCCCAACCCCGACCTACCCTTCTGTCTGTCTGAACACATTCATTCGGCTCACGCTTGTCAAAACTACTCGATTACTCGCCACATTAGCCAGAGGAACTGTGTATCAGCATGCCTCCGCTGGCGGTCGTAGGCGACATCGAAGATCTGCAAAGTGTACTCGCACGAATTTATCATTTTCCGTCTTTACGAATAGAGTAAACCGCCCAATTAACGAATGCTTAAGCCAACCCTCGCGCCAACAGCTCATTCTCGGGCGTGAAAAGGATTATGAAATATTTGTAAATAGATATCGGACGATAGGATATGACGTAGGCTACCTCTCTATTAAAAAAAAAAAAAGTTCGTGTCAATGAGATAGAGCTGATGCAGTGCATTCCGTTGTTTAGCGAAAAATGTAGGAAAACACCCCCCCCCCCAATTAACGAACACTTCAGCTTTGTTGCTGATTTCGCGCGTTCTGAAGCGTTTCATGATCTTTTTATTGTGTAGATACGTCTATTGCAACACATATCCATCACAGAAAAAAAAATGGAATCGATCCTTGCCCGGGGACAAAATCCTCACATCCCCGGGTTTTCCGGCTGAAATCGGGGACGGATTTTACCCCATTTTTGACCGTGCGGCGGTGCTGCGCACATGAAAACATGAAAAGAGCCAAAACTAAGAGATTACTGTACAGTGGGTTTAATCTGATCACATACAGACTCCCTAAAAAAATTAGGACGAAAAACGTTGCGCATGTGATGTATTGCCCGTTCAAACAGGCACCCCTTGACCTGGCCGCCACTGCAAGAATTCTCCGCAAGAACCCCAAGGCCATTTCCCTTATTTCACAGTCGTCTTGCATTCCCACAAGACGCCCTTTGGTGGGTAGGTTTGTTCTATCACAAGAAACACTGTTGCAAAAAAAAAAAAACATGCATGCCCGGGGACAAAATTACCATATCCCCGGGTTTCCCCGTATCACCCACCCCCGCCCCACCCGCGCTGCTGGGGTGCACCCTAACCATCTCTACATGCCCCCAAAAACCACGTCATCTTCTACTTTACTCGAATAATTCATCCACCGCCTAGACAACAGTAGTCCAGAATAAAAACGACAACCGTAAAGCATCTATCCTAGTCTAAACATCAACGATTGGTGTCGGGATCCGTTGCCGTCCTCGGGAGGAAATCTTTCTCCTCCTTGCTCAGGACAGTCCTGGGACCAACCTTCGCATCTATGGCCACCTTCTTCTTCACACGGTCGTGCAGCGAGGCTAGCGGTGACCCCTAGGTCTTCGCAGCAACGCGGAGCGACATCTCACCGCTGCGTGCCGCACTTAAAGCCTTCTGGGCCTGCTCTGGGTCTACTCTCGTACGTCCCATGCTTAACAGCAGGACCCCGAAAAGGGCAAAGATGCCCCACATCAGGGGTTTGGGTGAGGGCTGTCTTGTATCCCGGGAGTGGTTGACCCGATCGACACGCGGAGGTGCTCAAACGAAAGCCAACGGAAAGCTGAACAATTGAATAACAAAGTTGAGGGTCTCCGCGGATGGTGCGCCGAGGGACGTGCATTTGAAAAAGTGTTCGTTAAAGGGGGCGTGTTCGTTAATACCCTGGTTTACTCTATTCGAGAAAAACCCTCCGCAGGAAGGTATCGAGACATTTATACGAAGAATCAGTACATATGTAGGGTCAGCAATAATGTACTTCTTAATTGATACAGCAGTAAACAACCAAAGACTTCGGACACTTTCCTGCATTAAATATCCCGCCTTGCACTCTGCTACTTGATACGTCCGCGTTTCTTTCTCGGTTTTCGGGTTTTTAGCGCAGGTTGATGTGTAAAATTTCCACAGCCAAAAACACATGTTAGTGATAGCGTTAATGCCGAAGTTTACGTTTCGTTAGTAGTGCAGATGGTACGGACGAATCGTTCATCGGTCGCAATCAAAACTCTCCCGCCAACGCGTTGTGTTTACTAGGAAGTAGTGCCTCCTCTTGCCTTGCCCACCTACATAGGCGGCCTGACAGAGGCACACGTTGCGCATACAGTAAATTGGCTCTTCTGGGGGAAGCTCTACGGTTCATTCATAGTATGACGAGCTCTCCCGCTCCCCGCTTGTATCTACCTCGACCAGGCTACGGGGAATTCCTTCCTCCGAGCGACCACCACCTGCTCGCCGGAAGCAGCGAAAGAGGTCGACTTCGTCTACGGCCTCCATCCCAGTAGCGCGACCGGCGGCTGTGTTGTCCAGAGGTCGTTCGAGGACGATCTCCGCGCTGATCCCGGCGTCGCTTCGGTAAACGTGCACGTTGCCTCGGACGCGGCGTCCGCGAAAAGCGTGTTCGACCTGCTAAGGCGGCAAGGAGGGGTGGAGGAGGAGAGGGGTGACGGGCCGCCCTCGCGAGCCCTTATCATCGACGGCATTGCTCTCCTGTTCTTGCGGGATCGGCTGCACGAGCTGGTGGCGGGCCGTGGCGGGCCGTGGAGTATTGTGGCCGGGTTTATCCACTGCCCTTTCAGGTGATTTACTTTTGTATTGTCGTCGTCATTTTGCTGTAGCGGGGCCGCAATAAATTGCTGTCGGCACTTTTTCCGCGCACGATGCTTCAGCTAGCAGTGACGCAGATTAAGGGGGAAGGCAAGGGGGGCAGGGGTTGGAAGTTATACGAATTCATTCTCAGTTTGTTTCTCGAGATAATGGCATGTCCGGATCAGGATGGGTTTTCTTTCGAGCCAAATTGAACGGATTTCATACTCCTTCTCTTTACAGCACGAGCAATTCGCGCTTTTTTCCCTCCCGCAACACGTGCCGCGGACACGCATTCCGGTAGCTGTCGCAATATGGGAAAATACGCACTCGTTGCGATGTATTTTTTCGGGACCGTTTCTTCTGTTGTCGGCGACCCCAAGTAATATCTTCCCTTGTTTTTTTTTATCAAAAACACGGAAATACTCATGGTTTGCGGCGAATGGACGCTTGCCTCCGACCCCCCCTCGTGGCGATGCCGGATTGTTGTTATCATGACGTGCCGATAGCGAGCCTTTTTACCGCGAGGAACCTTGGCTTAGAGTCGCGCTTCCCGAGCGCATGCTCCAGGACGAGAACGGCGCGGGTATCCGCGCGGAGGAGCGTCGACTCTTTGGCCTGTTGGACAAGGTCATCGCCGTAGGAGCGCCCTGCCGCACCCTCTTGACGGCCGACTTCGGCGTGCGGGAAGAAGCTATCGTCGTCGTCGAGCCCACGTTTGCCCCGTTGGCACCGAACGTCGCTGTGGCCGCTTCTGCTTCCACCGCAGCCGCCGCCGCTACTGCCATCGAAGCGGGTGCCGTGCCTCCAGCCGCTTGGGTTGACATCTCGAACGAGCGTCCTCCAAGGTTCGTATCAGTCGGCACCCTGTGTCCTCGGAAGGGCCAGATTGGTCTTATCGCCGCCCTCAGGGCCGCCTGCGCCTCACAGCCGAAGCAAGTAGGCGGCTCCGTGCTCACGCTCATCGGCGGCGAGGCGGCCGATCCCGCCTACGCCGAGGCCGTCAGGGCGGCTGCGGCGGCGGCAACCGCCGGGGCCGGCGATGAGAGTAGAGGAGGCGCCAAAGGGAAAGGACCGGGGCTGTTGGAGGTGCGGCTGCTAGGATCCTTGCCGCGGGAGGAGACCCTCGAGCACGTGGACGCGAGCGACGCCTTTTTGTTGAACTCCTGTTCCGAGAGCTGGGGCGTGGCCCCGGTAGAAGCGGCCCTGCGCGGGGTGCCAGTGCTCTCCACGCGGGTCGGTTGGTTGGCTCAGTCGTTACCCGCCGAGTCGACTTTATGGGTTGGTTCGGGCCGGGCCGGGCGAGGACATGCTTCCGACGGCGGCGACGGGGTCGGGCTTGCGTCGGCGGCAGAGTGGAGACAAGCGCTTCTCCGGTTCGCGCACGCCCGGCAGCAATTGAGGATCGAGGCGGAGCGTGCGGTGCCGGGCCTCGCTGAGCGGTTCTGCCGAGCGGTGGCGGCGGACACGCGAGGCCAAGCCGTCCGGACTCTTATGGAAACAACGACGTGGAAAAGATGCACCCGTGCTCCTTGCAGCCGTTCTCATCTCCTGGGGGAATATGAGCTGTCGAACGGACCTACTGATCCTTCGACCACCACCATTACAGCCGTCACAGATCAAGAGCGGGTGAGAAAGGCCACAGTGAACAACGCGCTCGCTTGCGTGTGCGCGACCTGCGTCTCGTTCAGCGGCGCCGGCGGCGCGGCGGCAGGCCTCGCGGCCCTGGTCGCTGCGCAGTGCCTACTTCTTGTCGGACTGGCCCCGCCTTGCTCGCCGGCAAACCTCGTCACCGTTTTTCGGAGCTTCATTCCGCCGACGGTGGTGTGGTTCATGGCTGGGTCGGATTTCGGCCAGGTGAGAGAACGAGAGACGCGGGAGAGAGAGAGAGAGAGAGAGAGAGAGAGAGAGAGAGAGAGAGAACACCAGAGTAGCTCCGCGTGTGCAAGTTCGATGCGTGAAGCCTACAGGGCGTGCTGTGAGCTATCAACGGTAATAACGGACTTTGCAAATGGCGTTTTTTCCCGTGCTTTTTCCTTTCTCTCCTGGAGGGATGTTTCCTTTCACTCCTGCTTTTGTATCAGGACCGGATGTGTGAGGCTCCTGCAGTGTTGTTTTTGTTTTTTCTCCCGCAGAGAGAGGGGACCAGGATGTTCTAAACAATCAAAATGGCGGCTAGATGACCCAGCCCCCGTACATGGCATCATCATGGTTTCACCACCCTCACGACCTTGCATGCTGATTCATACGCCTACCCTCGCATGTGAACCCAAGCATCACCGTTCCATGTCAGTATGCACGGCGTGCCGTTCGTGTTGATCGGAACAGTGGCGTGCGCCACTAGAAACGCCCTCCGCTCACCTCCATCTTTTTCGTGGACATGGAGACCAAATGTGCTTGAAATCTCGCTGCGTTTCTTCCCCGACGCGCGCTTCCCTGCTGCTATGGAGCAGGTGTCGATGGCTGACGTGACTGTCTTCGGAGTGCTTTTCGTGCTGCTCGACGTGGCGGACGGTATCCTGGCGCGGCGATCGAAGTCTGGGCCCACGCGCGTCGGGGCGGCTCTTGATGTCGAGAGCGATTCCATTGCCGTACTGTTCCTTAGCCTTGCGGCTAGCCGGAAGGTTGGTTGGAGTGTTCTCATTGGCTATTTTCGAAGGAACATGTCATCATTCGAACAGCATCATGATCTTTCAGCGCGCGAAACCCACAGCCGGTATGTGCAAGTGGTGTTGGTGGACAAGAGAACGCCTGGCTTCCTTCCACCAGTGTCCATGAATCACGTTCAAGAAAGCTTTTGCCGATTTTGTGCGGCCCTGCGGTTGGCGCCGTCGAGTATTCACGCACCGCAGCACTTTTGTAGATTCATCCCGACCCCTAATGCGGTTTCAGGGGGAAGCGCTTCGTCGCGAAGCGGGATGATCCCAACACCAGTCAAGCCTGCCGCCACCCCCTACCGCGCAGCCCACCCGCTCATCACGACAGCTACCCGCGTTTTTTTTTGTCACCATGGTGCAAAAAACAAAACGTGTAGCTAAGAGCCCCCCCCCCCCCCCCCCCCCCCCCCCCCCCCCCCCCCCCCCCCCCCCC